GTGAGCCGTTGGCATGAAGAGATTCTGCAAGGCTGGAGCTTGGCCTCTCAGAATCACATCCCCCCACGTGGGGCCAGGCCGGCTGGGGAGAGAGATGGGGTGCCTCTCATGCAGTGTCTGACCTTGTTGGAAACTTGGACTCCTCTCTAGCCCAGCTCCTATAGGATTACCCCACCCTAGGATTATGTTCTTAGTATTCTTTACTCTCTTCTTTGTTATGGGATATTATCTGAATAAACAGAAGGATCAGAAGGGAGACAATCTTCAAAGGAAGCAGGAAGGCTGCACGCCTCCCTCTGCAGATCCGTCGGATGAGTGATTAGCATTTTGAGTCTCTGGTGGATCTTTCCTTCTTATTACAGTCCAACTTTATGTCCTGTATCTTCATTTAATCTTCTTCACACCTCAGTAGGCTTATTCTCAGTCACATTAAGGCCAGGGCAGAATAGAATATGAAGCTGTGCCTCGAGTTAAGTGAAACGCAGACCCTGGCTGGATTAAGGAATGGCTGCAGTGGGCTGAGGAACCCACAGGAGAATTATGAATCAAATCAACATGTGGACGAGCCACTCAAGGATGCATTATTTTACAAATATGAAAAAGGACATGCTGGATTTTCTTTTTCATCCTTTTTCCTCTCTCTTCTCACCTTCCAGCCTCCTCCTCTCACTTCTTTCTCCTTGGCCTGGTGGCAATGGCACCCACACCCCAGAGCCTGTACCCCGTCTCCACACCCAGGAACCCACAGCCTGCCACACTCTTTCATGGCTGGCTCTGATGTTCTGTGCTGCGGGACGATGACACGGAGGACTTCCCCGGGACCCCTCAGATCACCCTCAGCATCCTGAACTCTGGAGAACACAGTGTCGGCTGTCTGTTGGTGGACGCTCTTCAAGCCTGGGCACCTGAGCAATGCCGGCTCTCTCTCATGAGCTTTGAACAGGGATGCTGTGCTTCACAGCATGTCACCCACAGAATCCAGTAATCTGGCCACTGACTGAGGATCACTTAAGAGGCTGAAATGACAACAGGCTGGGGGAACTACAAAGCACAGATGTCCGCACTGCTCACCCGCCTGCATGCTGCACCTGCCTTTCTGGGCATCCCTGACGGGGGTGACCCCAGCAGAGCCCTGCACGTTCCCACGTCACTCACACACAGAACGGCCGCCTCCACGGCTGTTGGAATGGATAGCTGAGCTTCGGTGATAGCTAATGAGGCACTTTATAAGCAACAAGGATCAATTGGAAAGCTGACTTGCCCACAGAAGAGCGATATCATGAAATAATTAGTTTAGACAAAAATGTCTGTGAGCAGGAGAGAACGTGACAGGGCTGACAGCTTGAATCGGGTCACTTAAAAAGACAAAAGCTGGAGACTTGGGAGTCATGGAATCCTTCTCCCATCTGACTTCAGCTTGGCCCTGAGGCCACCTCAGGAGCAGGACAAATGTACTATGAGATTTTTAAAAGCCTGTGAGACATGCACCTGAAAACTAATAGATGGAGCTAGGTCATGTCTGCCTCGGGAATCCTGAGCGTGGTCTGATTGCTGGTCCATGACTCGTCCCGGGGAAGGGGTCTGGGGCATCAGAGTAGACTGCTGGGGTCCTGCACAGAGCAGCTGGGGGCAGAGTCCAGGGGGTGACTATCCTTGTAGTCTGAAGGGGAGCCCCATCAGACCCTGGGTGTGACATCAAACATGGGGTTCAGAAGACACAAAAGGACAGGAGCCTGGGGGAGTGAGGACTGGGGCAGGCAGGGGAGGGACGTAGAAGTGAATTAAGGCAGAAAAAAAGGGTGTAGAGGGTCAGCTGTGAGCAAAGAAAGGGTTCTGGCACTTCTCTTACAAAGTGCTGGCCAAGCCCCAGGACTGATTGGCTGGTCAGAATTCACTGGAATGGAGCTTTCATGGGATTGAAAACTCAGATGCCTGCAGGATTGTGGTGGGGAGTAAGAGCACCATAAAATGTGCGTGAGGGCAGATGGCAGACACCAGCCCCAGTCTCAGCATCGGGGAAGCAGTAGGGATGGGCAGTCGGTGGAGTGGATGGTGTGGGCGGTGAGTGGAATGGATGGTGGGGGTGGGGTGGGGTGGGGATGGGCATCCAGGCTACTCAGCCCTCACCCATTGTTGCCTGGTGTGGTTGTGGGTTTGAAATTGCCAGATCTTCCAACCCAGATTTCCAGGTGATGTGGACTAATGCTTCAATGTTGAAAACTAATGCAAATGTCATTTTCATTCTAAAAAATTGTTGCAATATAATGTACCTGCAGAAGAGAACTCCTATAATGAAGGTACTGTTCAATGAGTTTCTTACTGATTGAATAACTTCATGTTCTCAAGGCTGAGATCAAGAAATATAAAACATTTCCAGCCACCAGAAAGCCTTCCTCAGGATCGAATCTAGTCACTCCCCTATCCCTGCCAAGTATAATCACCATCCTAGCTACTAACAGCACAAATTAGTTTTGCCTGTTTCTGAGCTTTCTATAAATGGATTCATGACGTTTGCAGTCATCTGTCTGTCTTCTCCCATTTATCATGTCTGAGAAACTCATCCATATTGTTGCGTGTAGTTTTGCAGTTCACATTTTAAAAATAATCGTACAGGAGTCGAGACGGGGTGAGGAGAGGGGTAAAAGGGGCTTCCTGCAGCGTGCAGACGGGAGTGTTCAGACATCATCACAGAGCGGCAAAAAGAGCATTTAGCCCCCAGAGAGACGCAGGAATGTCAGAGTCTCAGTGCTAACAGTAATGTTCAGACATCACAGAACGGCAAAAAGAGCATTTGGTCCCCGTAGAGACGCAGGAATGTCAGTCTCAGTGTCTGTGACACTTTCCTAAAAATTAAGGGTTGACGTTATCGAGGACAGACGAGAGGTCTGGCGACTCTTTGGCTATTTAAAGCAGCCACAATAATAGCAGTCGTCATACCAACAGCTAACATTTGTATGGTACTTACCATGACTGGTCCTGCCAGTTTTATATACATATGAACTTATTTAACCCTCGTAACTGTATCAGTAACCCCATTTGCAAATGAGGAAGCTGAGCTGCAGAGGGCTTAAGGAACTCCATCTTAAGTAACGTGCCAAAGGTTACAGAGCTAATGAAACGCAGGCCCATACAGTTTTGAGCTCTGCACTACTTTGCAATGAATGCAGTGAGTCCACGTACAGACCCGCTCTTCAGGCTGGGCCAGCAGGAGAAGGGGAGCCTCATGGAAGCCTGGCTCCATTTCTCGTGCTAGAAGCTTCACTGGATTATCAGAGAACTTCAGTAAGACCTAGGAAAGTGTGTTCTTTGGGTGTGTGGAGGGCATGTTGAGGATCTTATTGAAAACCCGGCACCTGCATGGGTGATGCCTCACTGGTTGGCATCCATTGCTTTGGTAAAGGACCCCTGGCTTTGTGCACAGAGCTGACAGAGGGTTGCAGGGGCTCAGAGGCAGAAGCCACAGTGCACCATGGGATGGTCAATCTAGAGCCTGCCTGGCCAAGGAGCATTGCAAGGTAGATTTCATTTTTTTTTGAGATGGAGTTTTGCTCTTGTTACCCGGGCTGGTGTGCAATGGCGCGATCTCGGCTCACCGCAACCTCTGCCTCCTCGGTTCAGGCAATTCTCCTGTCTCAGCCTCCCGAGTAGCTGGGACTACAGGCACGTGCCACCATGCCCAGCTAATTTTTTGTATTTTTAGTAGAGACGGGGTTTCACCATGTTGACCAGGATGGTCTCGATCTCTTGACCTCGTGATCCCCCCGCCTCGGCCTCCCAAAGTGCTGGGATTACAGGCGTGAGCCACCGCGACCGGTTAGACTTCATCTTTGAATGGGCTTCATCCATTCCAGGAAACAAGTGCTTGGGAGTTTACAAACCCCAGCCACGGTCTGTGGCCTTCCAGTCTAAAATCTCCCCAGACATCTTCATCTGCCTTCATTGCTGGACTGAATGTCCCACTTCCCACCCTGCGTGGATATGTTGAAACCTAACCACAGTGTGTGGGCATCAGCAGGTGGGGCCCTTGGGAAGTGATTAGGTCATAAGGGTGGAGGCCTCGTGAATGGAATTAGTGCCCTTAAAGGGGCCCAGGCCGGGTGCAGTGACTCATGCCTGTAATCCCAGCACTTTGGGAAGCTGAGGTGGGCAGATTGTCTGAGCTCAGGAGTTTGCAACCAGCCTGGGCAACATGTTGAAATTCTGTTAAAATACAAAAAATTAGCTGGGCATGCTGGTGTGCACCTGTAATCCCAGCTACTTGGGAGGCTGAGGCAGGAGAATCGTTCTAACCTGGGAGGGAGAGGTTACAGCAAGCCAAGACTCAGCCACTGTACTCCAGCCTGGGCAACAGAGTGAGATTCTGTCTCAAAACTAACTTACTAAATAAATAACATAAAAGAGGCCCAGTGGAGACCCCTTTCCCCTTCCACCACGTCAGGACACAGTGAGAAGCTGGAATGGGCCCTGGGCAGACACTGAATCTGCCAGCGCCTTGATCTTGGAATCCTAGCCTCCAGAACTGTAAGAAATACATTTCTGTTGTTTGGAAGCTGCCCAGTCTATGGAATTTAGTTATAGCAGCTTGAACTGACCAAGACACCACCCTAATGGTGTCACACTTCCCTTCCTTGGTCCTCCTCCTCATTGAGCTTCCTGCTTCAGCTCCTCCTCCTCCCCCAGGGCCCTGCCCCGCACAGCACCTTAGGACGGGGGTGTCTTCAGCTCCTCCTCCTCCTCCCCCAGGGCCCTGCCCCGCACAGCACCTTAGGACGGGGGTGTCTTCAGCTCCTCCTCCTCCTCCCCCAGGGCCCTGCCCCGCACAGCACCTTAGGACGGGGGTGTCTTCAGCTCCTCCTCCTCCTCCCCCAGGGCCCTGCCCCGCACAGCACCTTAGGACCGGGGTGTCTTCAGCTCCTCCTCCTCCCCCCCCAGCGCCCTGCCCCACACAGCCCTTAGGACGGGCGTCTTCAGCTCCTCCTCCTCCTCCCCCAGGGCCCTGCCCCACACAGCCCTTAGGACGGGGGTGTCTTCAGCTCCTCCTCCTCCTCCCCCAGGGCCCTGCCCCACACAGCCCTTAGGACGGGGGTGTCTTCAGCTCCTCCTCCTCCTCCCCCAGGGCCCTGCCCCACACAGCCCTTAGGACAGGCGTCTTCAGCTCCTCCTTTGGTGTCATCGCTTTGACACAGACGGTACCACTGTTTGCTCTATGAAGACACGTCTGCTTCCAGCTGTAGCCGAGGCTTCTTTTAGCCCATTAACTTTGGCTCCAAGCTGGACCTGTTTCTCTTTGTCACCATGGACCTCCTTTCGCTACGTGGTAGGTAGCATCTGTCTTTGCTTCCTTGGTTTTCTCACTTATGTCTGCTGCAGAACATTCTCAGGAAATTTACTCAGAAAAGGTGCACTGGAGGAAATTTCTTTCGTTGGCCCAGCCTTGCAGAAGCAGAGCGTTGGAGTGCAGCCGATGCCGAGAAGCTCTTCTTACTGGGGGGAAAGTAGAAGGCAGGCCACTCTGAGCCTCCCTCCTGTTGCCAATAAGCTCTTATCAGAGGCCAACACTGTAAGGATCAAAACCGTGACAGCTGTGAGATGGCTCAGGAGCCTCAGGGGTAGTGGTGCCACGTGGGCCACGAGCAGAGTGTAGGGGAAATGCAGTGGGGGTTGGGGGAGGGAGAGGAGAACGTGGAGAGAGTAGCTGTAAAGGATCAGGAATCGGGGAATTTCCTGAGGAAACAGGTGGTCAGTGTTGAGGGTGAGGTGGGGTGGATTGAGTGGGGCTTCAGGCATTAGATTCTCATATGGAAGGCACAACCTAGATCCCTCCGATGTGCAATTCACAATAGGATTCAAGCTCCTATGAGAATCTAATACAGCTGCTGATCCGACAGGAGGTGGCGCTCAGGTGGGAATGGTCTCTAGCCTGCTGCTAACCTCCTGCTATGAAGCCCGGTTCCTAACAGGTCACGGGCCAGTACTGGTTCGTGGCCTAGGGGTTAGGGACCCTGGTTCTAGAGGGCAGTGTGCACAGACACAAGAGGAGAGAAGGAAAAGAAGCACCCGCTACTTTCAGGAAGAGCTCAGAGGTATGCGTGCCAATCTTCGATCAGTGTTGAGGTTGATTGTCGGCATAATTGCTGTGCTTTCCTGGGCTGCTTGTTTTCCTGGGGAGCGAGAAGAGTGCTGGTCCAACCTAGTTCACCTGTGATGGTCTTTTGCACGCATGAGACACTCTTGCTACCCTTTGTCCCTTTTTCTTTGCTGATATGTTCAACAGGGCGCCGATCTTCTCCGCCTGGGCATACTGTGGCTTCAGTTTCCCTGGGGTGACAGGTAGCAGGTGCAGACATTTGATCTGGTTTCACACAGGGAAGCAGCCTCTTCACATTCCTAGGTCTCTCAGCATCTATCCCAGCCTTGCTGTCAATTCTGTCTTGAGTTTCCCAGTCCTGCCATAATAAACTACCACGGTAAAATCCAAAATGGGTCTTCCTTGGCTAAAATCAAGGTGTCAGCAGGGCTGTGTTCCTTCTGAGAACATTCCCTTAGAAGAAAGGTAAGGCGTCAGAAAATCTGTTTTCTAACCTCTTCCCGCTTCCAGAGGCCACTCACATTTGTTGGCTCATGGCTCCAGCCTTCATCTTCTAAACCAGTAGTGTAGCGTCTCCCAGTGTCTCTGTCTCCTTCCCCTGCTTCCCTCTTAGCAGAACCCTTGCAATTACACCAGTCTATGGGATAACTCAGGATAATCTTCCAATCTCTAGGTCTTTAATTTTGTCACAGCTGCAAAATTTCTTTTGCCATATAAGAGACTATGCTCACAGATTTCAAGGATTAGGATGTGGACATCTTTGGGGGGACAGTATTCTACCAACATTGTAGCTAGCCAAGAATAAGTAAAAGAATTGAAAAAAGCACCCAGGTGTAGCAGAGGCTGAAGACCACGAATTTACTGTGGCTCAAATCTGCAATTAAGGACTTTTAGGAACTGGAATACAGGGACTAGGTTGGAAGGCTGTAGGTCTAGGCCAGGGTGTGGACATTTTCTTTGTGTATAGCAGGACAGGGATACAGGGAGTAAGGGCTTTGATAAAAGTGTGACTTATTTGCTAAATTGAGGGATTAAAGCTGGTTAAGCAGGGGAGGGAGAATGCTTGCAGAGGGGAGGAAATAAAAGTATCAAACAATGGTAAAATGCATAATCCAAAATTTCAGATATGAGGCAGTGTGACAAATGGCTGCTAACAACTTCAGAGAAAAATTCTTAATATAGAGTATCCTTTCTTCTTTCATTCCAGCACATGTTAATTCATTAATTAGATTCAAGGCAGAATTTTCTTATTTTTTTCTTTATTGTTTTTAAGACAGAGTCTCACTGTCGTTCAGGCTGGAGTGTAGTGGTGTGATCTCGGCTCACTGCAACCTTTGCCTCCCAGGTTCAAGAGATACTCCTTCCTCAGCCTTCCAAGTAGCTGGAAGTATAGGTATTCACCACCATGCCCGGCTAATTTTTTGTATTTTTAGTATAACAGGGTTTCACCGGCCAAGGCGGGCGGATCACCTGAGGTCGGGAGTTCAAGAACAGGATTTCACCATGTTGCCCAGGCTGGTTTCGAACTCCTGACCTCAAGTGATCCACTCACTTGGCCTCCCAAAGTGCTAGAATTATAGGCATGAGCCACTACGCCCAGCGTCAAGGTGGAATTTTCTGGCACCTTATCTGTCTTCTAAAGGAATGCATTGCATCTACTCTTGATACTGGTCAGAGGTCTCAAAATAAAAAAAGAAGTCTGTCTCCTATTTTTTTTTCTTTTTTCTTTGTAAAGGAGAGGAAGAAAGAGAGGGAGAGAGAACGGGAATGTTGCTTTACTCTAAAAATGGGTATTGAAAACCTCTTTTATGCCAATAATTGTGCTTAATAATGGCCGATCAATATTTCATTTAAACCTATGAGTAGGTGCGATGTGGTACTGACAAGAATGTATATTTTGTGTATTTAAAGTGGAGAGCTCTATAAATGTTTATTAAGTTTACTTGTTCCGGATCTGAGTTCAAGTCCTGGATATCCTTATTCATTTTCTGTCTCGTTGATCTATCTAATATTGATGTTGAAGTCTCCCACTATAATTGTGTGGGAGTCTAGAAGTCTGTTTTCTAATGCAGTAATGGATTGCAGCCTTTCGTTGCATCTAATTGTTTTCATTTATCAGATATGATCTTGTCACTTGAACATCTTAGGAAAGATACTGTTTGCCAGAGCTCAAGCCAGTCTATTTAATCCAAAAAGGGAGACACGTTCATGAATAGGCTACAGCGTACTTTTTCAGAGCCGAAGCAGAGGACATGGTGCCTGTTAGCCCCGAAGGCAGAGTTTTCCTGCCTAAGGAGTGAAGTGGTGCAGAGAAAGGGTGGAAGGAGAGAGAAGAAAAATGAATAAGGTTTATTATAAGGGGAAAATAACGAAGAACTTTGCAGAATGATTCCCTGCAATTTACTTAAGTAGAGGCTTCTGCTCCTTTTCCCCCTCCTCCTCCTCCTCTTCCTCTCTCTTTCCCCTTCTCCCTCCTCCTCCTCCTCTTCCTCTCTCTTTCCCCTTCTCCCTCCTCCTCCTCCTCTTCCTCTCTTTCTTTCCCCTTCTCCCTCCTCCTCCTCCTCTTCCTCTCTTTCTTTCCCCTTCTCCCTCCTCCTCCTCCTCCTTTCATTTTATTTTAGCTTTGAGATGGAGTCTCACTCTGTTGCCCAGCCTGGAGAGCAGTGGTACTATCTTGGTTTACTGCAACCTCCACCTCCCGAGTTCAAGCGATTTTTTTGCCTCAGCCTCCCAAGTAGCTGGGACTGACTACAGGTGTGCACCACCACACCTGGCTAATTTTTTATATTTTTGGTAGAGATGGGGGTTCACCATGTTGGCCAGGCTGGTCTCAAACTCCTGACCTCAAGTTATCCACCCGCGTAGGCCTCCCAAAGTGCTGGGATTATAGGCGTGAGCCGCCGCACCCAGCCTTCTTTCATTTTAGAGGCAGCAGAGTGGAGCCTGCTGAACTTGGATGATTCTCTGTCCCTGTTTCCTTATTGTCCCTTACAGTACCTACCTTCTAGCTTTATTATGAAGCCTACTGAGCTAATATTTGTAAATTACTTAGAACAGCATCTGGAAATACGTGTTTGTTACATAAAAAAGACTTAGCTCACAATGAGATTCACTGAGAAAACTGCAAACTGGGAAACTGCATTGGCTTATGAACACTTCTAAACTGTACCTGGAGGACACTGATCAGTGGCCTACATTTCAGTCACATATGCGAGACAGTTTTCTCTACCTTGTCTGTGACAGTACAATTCTTTCTCCTCTATTCGTCTTCAGATTACGTTATAAAGTTGGCCAGTTTAAACAACAATCTCTGTTGCTGACCACCCTCTACTCTACGGAAAACAGAACCTCCCCAGCCAGAGACAAACAGCAAGGCTAGTTAGGTTATGTAAGTCTTTGTACAGCCTGCAATCTAGATATTGCCAAAGCAGGATGAGAGGCGTGGCAGCGCACTCCCAGCAGAGCAGCAGGTGGGCATGATGTCACAGGGACATGGCAGCCCCAACGCAAATCCTAACACTATCATCACCCTGGCAGAGAGTGGGCATGTGCCATGTAGTGGCACATCTGTGACTATTGTGTGATTATTATTTTTTTTTTTTGAGACAGAATTTCACTCTTGTTGCCCAGGCTGGAGTGCAATGGCACGATCTAGGCTCACCACAACCTCTACCTCTCTGGTTCAAGGAATTCTCCTGCCTCAGCCTCCTGAGTAGCTGTGTGCCACCATGCTCAGCTAATTCTGTATTTTTAGTAGAGACAGGGTTTGTCCATGTTGGTCAGGCTGCTCTTGAACTCCCGAACTCAGGTGATCTGCCCACCTCAGCTTCCCAAAGTGCTGGGATTACAGGCAGAAGCCACCGTGCCCAGCCTTATGTGACTGTCGAATTGAGTGCCAAAGAAGAGGCCACAGTTGTTCACCAGCCACAGTTTTCAAAACAGGGCTCTGCTGGCAGGTGAGGCCAATGTCACTTGTCTTTAGAACCATCCAGGCAGTAGTCCCGTGGCCCTAGACATTTAAGGTGACCTCAGAGCTGGGTCCCCCTCCCTATCACTTATCTTTAGGTTACCTGAGCAAGTTATTCAACCTTTCTGAATCTCAGTTCTCAAAAGCTCAATTAATGCCCCTATGGAAGGGTTAGTGTGCCACTTCAATGAGGGAACGCACATAGCTTCACTGAGCACAGTGCTTTGTGCACAGTGGATGATCAGAAAATGTTCATTTTCTT